TTCTACTGTTTTGTTTTTGGTAACTAAAATTTTCTTAGTGTTTTTTTACGTCAAGTAAGATGTCTAGTGTTCCGCAAGCTTTTTCTCAGCTGAAAAGTATTCGGTGGCCAAAAAAGGTTTGGGAAACGCTGCTCTAACCTATCAGTTCTAAATTAAGGAGATTAGCGCAGTTAGTGTAGGTTTACGCTAATATCACAAACAAAAATTATCAATGTCAGGTTTATAATCAGGTACATAATGAAAAACCAAACAAACGTGACTTATATATTTCGTTACTTATCTGAAACATGACACTGCTGAAATTTGAGAAGTGTCACAAGTAATGTTCTTTCACGTGGCATTGCTCTAGAGGTTGACATATAAGTGTGCGTAGTAGTGAAATATTTAAAATAAATCTTTGAAGGGTGATAGGAAGATTTTGGCAATTTTGTTCATACTTTTTTTTGCATCCTCTACAGTATATAACCTACGTTATTAAACAAGCTGTCTGTACAAGTTTCTAATTTTTAATATTGCTGGTTTCGTGCTTTCTCATCCTACTACATTAGGATTAATTAGCAAAGCACCAAGAAATGAAAGCTATACTATTATGTGACTGGCGAAACTTATTCTCCTCTTCTTTCATTTGAATATGATACACTAAAAATTGGAACTGATAAAAAGTGGTAAATTAACATAAAAAATTGTAAATTGAGTAGCATCATGGAAGTTAAGATAAGACATTACAGTTTTTGGGCCCGGAATGGTCAGGTGGTTAGGGCGCTCGACTCGCAACCTGTGGATCGCGGGTTCGAATCCCCGTCCCACCAAACATGCTTGCCCTTTTAGCCGTGGGGGCGTTATAATGTGACGGTCAATCCCACTATTCGTTGATAAAAGAGTAGCCCAAGAGTTGGCGGTGGGTAGTGATGACTAGCTGCTTTCCCTCTAGTCTTACATTGCTAAATTAGGGACGGCTAGCGCAGATATCTCTCGTGTAGCTTTGCGCGAAATTAAAAAACAAACAATTTCTGATAATAGAATTGGCTTGGTTAGTTCGTTTTCTGTTGATGCGAGATATAATATAATTAGATTTTCTTTGTTGTTTTTTTTGTGTGTGTATGTGTGTGTCGCTGATATTCATCGCCCCTTAAAGCTGTGATAGCGCGGCAATTATCTCATTGGCTTCACGTGAATGGCCGAACTTCGTGTGTTCTAAGGGCCAGGCTTTCTTAACTGTCCATTTTTCTACTGGAAAATTTTGAAAAAAAAAATCTCTTATAAGTATGACTTATAAAGTTCTTGAAAATATAACTACTGAAAAACCTGTTGCCAAACATCTAGCACTCGGGCGACATTCTGTCAAATTTTTCTACCTTTACAAAGATGACTACTGTTTTTCACATGTGTTCTTCTTTACCAGATTACATTGTACCTAGAATAAAAAGGCAAAAAGCAAAAAAATTATAAGAAGGTTTCCCTTATGCTGCCTTTGTTCTGTGATAATATTTCAGCTACCGACTTTGTTTACCATCCATTCTAAAAATACAAATATGAAACCCATCACCGAAATGCATACCACTTCTGTATATTAGCAAAGACAGATGTGAAATTAATGTAATCTCCTTTACATTTCTACGGTAAATCCAGCTATAGCGGGCTAATAAGAATAGTTATATTGTATTAGACTGCTTCCACGGATCATAAACGTAAGCTTTTATTATAATGTAGCATTATATTAAGAAGTGCATAGCATATATAAGGAGTTGAATTCAAATGATGATCTCTTTTACACATTCTGTGAATTCCTTTACGTGCATCTCACTATGCCCCTATTATCTGTTTTTTTTTATAAATAGACTCCTAATTATCGCTCACAGATTTAGCTTTGTAATTTATCAGTCATTTAAACCTAAAACTACCACCTCTCAAACAATTTGAATGTTAGTTATACAGTTAAAGAGATGCACACCCGTTATGTAATCACACGTTCAAGGACTTTTCTTGTAGGAAAATGAGTTGATTTGTAACTAATACATTTCAAATCCACCTTACCCTAATCATCTGCATATGGTGAAACTAAATATGTCGGAAAAACCATTATGCATTCTATATATTTCCCTCTGAAGCAAAACTAAAGTAAAGGGGAACACGTAAAGGAGTTCATGCAATATCATGTTCAGTGATTTTTATTGAAGAATGCAATTTACTCTTACCCTATCAGTTATTGATAACAACAAATGTCTTGGCTTTTGTGTATAAAGATATAACAAAATGACATAATCTAAGTATCTACACTAGATATATGCGTAAAGGAGGTCACGTGCTTAATAAAACTAATGTTATTACAAGCTCCAAATGGATAAGAATATCTCTTGATACCCTGTGTTTGGGGGTATGATCAAATTGATACTTCCCGGATTGATTTTATACTCTAATATTTTTATTTACTCAAAAATTTGTAATTATTGTCTTAAAAATTAACAACCGTAATGGAGAACACATGATTACGGCGACATGTTATTATGAATATTTTTGTGTGTGAAAAAGTAATGGGACAATGAGCTAATAAAAAATTTCAAACATAAATGTTTACTAATTAATCATCATAAAGTCTTGAGTCATACTTACAATTCTCGTGTTTGTGTTATAGCTTTGAAATTCAATTTTTCTACTGGCGACATGCTACTTTTAACACCCCAACATTGTTTATTTTCTTGGCTTGCTGGAAAAACTCAACATGTTATATATGTTTGGAAAGTTCTGTCCATCGTCTATCATTTAGAAATTATTATATGTTTATGTACTCAGGGAAATTTGCCCCAGAACACTGGCAAGGTCAGATTGGACATTCCAGACAGCCTGGCCCCTAAGGTAGTAGCAAGAGGGAAGCTCGAAATGGCTGTCAAAATCGTAAAAATGAAAACATGAAAGAGCAAGGGGTTGAGTATCCTTATGGAAGATACTCAAGGGTATCCCTATGGAAGATACCCAAGAAGCTTCGAAAACTTTGTAGTGATCAGAGGTCGGGAAGTTGGGAAATTATTATCACGGACAAAGAAATTGATATAGAGACATAGTTTTAAGCATTTTTCGTTTATGAAATGTGTTAAAAGAGGACTAAGCTCGTTTTGCCCTGAGAGTGAACCAATTTTATATAGGTATTTGAAGAGTTTACACCATCACTGACGACAATTTGTATAATACAATGTAGTTGTTCTTCTTCTAATCAGAAATGCAAATTTGAGCGAGAATAAAACAAGAAGTCCAATCTATCACTAGATTATCCACTTGTAATTGAATTAGACCAGTTTCGGAAACTATATTTCTCATTAGTCACACTGGAAAGTGCAAATCAATAGGCACAACTAGGCCTTTCTTTCTCGTCGAAATGCATAGTTTTGGTTATGAAAGTTACAATAATAAGAAATATCAGTGATTCTTCGTGTACTAGTAATCGTTTATCAAGATAATGAACGAGTTTTTTATTTATTCTGTATGTGAATACTAATTAATTTCCGTTTTACGACTTAGATAAGTTGATCAAATTAAAAAATATTAAATTCCTATAATTTTGAAATAACGACTTTTTGTACTGGTGTTTCATAATCTTTGTTTGTTGTTAAGTTACATAATAAGTTATTTGTATTGTGCCCACCACTGTTATCGAAACCCCGATTTTCCCCGTTATAAGTTCGAAGACTTACCACTGAGCTAGACCCAGCATAAATCTAGTCACCATTTTGAATCGTTTTGCAATCAACAATTCATGTTGATTTAAACTTTAGGATTACTGTGTTATCTACTACTGCAAATAAGCCTACAGTTATAAGTATTTTGTTCTTATTAATTTTAATTTTCATTCCACTTTTAGGTTATATTATTAATAATCCCACTATGGGCAAGTTTTGCGATAAAATGTAGAAATGATGGTATTCTATATGAGAAGATAGACAGAAAACTTAAGTAATTGTAGGTCCTTTGTTATACCCATCCAAAGACAAAATGAATCGTTTCTCAGTCTGTGGTTCGAAGCCCATTGGTGGTCTACAGGCTTCTTTCGTTTAGTCGTTTCGTTTCGTTTGTAATTATGCACAAAGCTACACAATGGGCTATCTGTGCTCTGCCCACCACGGGTATCGAAACCCGGATTCTAGCGTTGTAAGTCCGCAGACATACCGTTGTGCTACTGGGGCTTCATTTAGACAGTGGAAAATTTGCATAATTACGAAAATGAGGTGACACTATAGTGTATAGATCCTATTGTAGTTCAAGGAAATAAAAACACACATAGGCGTTTCACGAAAACAAAAAATAATGATTGAGAACCACTGATCTTTTTAATATTTGTGATTATTAAAATTCATTATAGTATATTTTATTTCACTTAATAATTAGGTCAACGATGTTTTAATCAAGAAGTCCAATAGAGAAAAATCAGAATGAAAAGTAACTTTATTCAAAAAGTTTTTAATAACAAATGTATACTTCGAGTTTTTCGTACAAATTATAAATACAATATACACAGTACAAACAAGGCAAACATACGTTTCGAGCCGAATATCAAAGACAGAGCAGAAACAAAAACTTGACAAAAAAGGAGCTTCTAGTTTTCAAGTTGCGTCTTTCCTACATTGAAAAACATCATTGTTCCACCAATTCACGATAACTGAGAATTTGGCCTTTCATCATTGATACGAAACGACAGAACATTCTATCAGTTGAAAGAATAAAAATATTATTACCATCTAAACTCTTTAGAAGTTTTAGATTAAAGTGTATATACAGAAAGTTATAAAAATTCAATTAATGTTTATCTGGATTTAGCATTAGGGATGTGAGAAATTACATTTATAATAATTCAGGTTTTGACATAAATCCACTGAAGCTTCAATAATTCATATGACGACAGGAAATAAAAAAAAACGCAATAATGTATAATAAAGAATTTCATTGCTTAAAAAACTCATAGTTACGCACTTGAAAAGATGATTCAGGATTTCAAACGATTCTAGCGAGTCCTAATGACCTCCATATCCGTAATTAGCGTCTGAATAGGAATAAACATGAGCAGGATCTTGGTTGGAAGTCCCAGGTTCATTGCTGGAAACCTCAGCCCTGAAGCCATAGCCGTCAGCCACATATCTTACTGTACGCCAGATACCATAAGCATCTCTGTAGCCATAACCACCAACTACATTATTGTAACCATCACTGTTTTCATGTTTCCATTGCTGGTTTCCATAGTAGTCATTAATTTCATAGCCGTACTTGTAAGGTTGAGGATAATACTAGAAGATAAAATGTCCCACTTTTTAATAAATATGTACGTGACTTTATTTACTAATTTCATAATTACTTTAATAGTGTTAAAAAGGACAAACTTCTTTCTGGGTGTAATATAACGCATATAATGAAATTAGAAACTCACGTTTGTATATCCTAATAAGCTATATAGTTGTATAACTTTACAGAACTCTAACTGAAAATATGTTTGTTTTTTACTTTTATAGTTTTTTAAAAAAATAAATATTTTACTGCTAGAAAACAAAACTAAACAACTAAGGAATTATGTTTAAAAAATGAGAAGTATACAATGTGCACAGACACACTAGATGATCGGATATTTTTGCACATCATAAAATAAGTAAACTTAATTAGAACAATTCTTAATAAACTAAAGCTCGTTTTTTGATAATGCAGAAACGAAAACAATAATATATCGGAACCTGTAATTCCTAAGTTGCAGCTTAGATTTTTTATCACCATGACTTCAAGGATATTCAAATGCGTTTTTCGATGGTTTTTTTAAAATAATAACACTATTTGTAAAAAAAATAAATAAAAAAATATTTTGTAAAACTTATAATGTTTCTTACATAATCTTGGTGACCTCCATAACCATATCCATCGTAACCAGCGAAGGCAACACCTACAAAGGCAACTAAAACAGCAACCTAAAAGTGAAGAAATAAACAAATAGAAATCAAGTAGATAAATAATATCACCTTCTTGATGTAGGAGTATATTCCACTGTGGAAGAAATTGAGTTAGAAATGAAAAGAATTCACTTGGATACATTATTTTTAAAAGAAAATAATACGTCAGTTAATAAATTTTTGTGGTAGAAAATTTTGATTTTATAAGAATGCCATAGGTTTTCTAATCTGTCGTTGAGAATCACAAAGTTATGAGTATGAAACTTTGAATTGGAAACGACAAACTTCAATTACGTTTGACTCCTTGAAGTGGCAAGTTAGAACTTTCACTCAAAGATTGAAGTACTGACTAACACACCTTGCCGATCATATTGGAGTACTGTTCAGTTTCCAGGCTAGACAAAAGGCCCTACTTGTTCAGCTTTTAGATGTATGAATGAAGTTTGTCTGTTTGCTTTTATACACCTTCGGAACGAAGAAAAAAAAATCCATTTCTCTTCCTGCCACTTACTATTTTTAGGATTCTGTAAAACGTTTATTCTTACTAAGCATACATATAGCTCCCAGCATCAGCGATATGGCACCGCTCGTTCGTACTGGCCTCCAAAATACTTCCTTATCAATATGCGCAATAACCAACGAGCGCCATATCGAGTTCCAATCTAACCAAACCCTTTCATAACGTATTTTTTATGTCCTTGGTCTGGCATACCTATAACTGTTCCAATATTTTTATCACTGGAGTTAACAGTAAACCTTAGTGAAAGGTACAAATGATTTGAAATACACCACAAAACAAGCAAAGAACAAATGTTGTTATTCATTAGGTCACTTATTGATAAGAATCAATAATAAATGCTATCCAAGAAACGTCGTTATTGTAACAACTGCCACTATATAACTTCTGTTAGCGCCATTGTTTAAAAGTTACTGTAGTTATATTCATATATCACAGTTATACACGCGAAGAGGTAAAGCCCATGACTACATTTATTTGCATGTTACTATAATAACCGTTGCCATGGTACAAGCTAACAAGTCACTATGGTAACAGCAACTGTTTTTCATCTTGCCTCTCATTTGTTAGCGAATAAAATCTTTGGGCTATAGTCAAACAAAGTCCTGGTTATAGTCAAACAAAGATGTTTATCAAATCCTTCACATCTTACCTTTTGTTATATTTTTCATAATTGAATTCTAAAAATCGTAGTTAGATCAAAATGACAGACAAAATTCACGAAGAAGAAATATATTTGGAAATTATTAGCTTTTGTTGAGCATTAAAAATATCATTTACTAATACTGTTTACAAATATCTAACATATAAATACAATGAAAGAGATTTTAATGACTTTATAACTCCAGATAACATTCGTTTTCCAGTAAAACTATTGAGCGAACATGCATTTTTAGTACCCTTTTGAACATTATATAAAAATGATAGACGAACAACATATTTTTTCACTTGTTATCACGAATTTAATAACAGTTTATAAAACTGAGTTCTACAAAGCTCCGCAAGAATAGCAATTAATATTATTCAAAAATAATTAATTATTCAACTAAATGACAGATTTCTTACTATATAAAGAAAGTATAAATTCAAAATGTATTGAGGATTTATTTTTAATTATGCACAAAGCTACACAAGAGCTATCTGTGCTTTGCCCACCACGGGTATCGAAACCCGGTTTCAAGCGTTGTAAGTCCGCAGGAATATCGCTGCGCCACTGGGGGGGGGGGGGCGGTATTGGCGGTCAACGAAAGTTCCGCCTAACTAATACTTAGAATCGTTTTTCTACATGGAATAATAAAACAATGTATACTGATACATATTAACTCACAATAGGGCAAACAAAAAGTAGAACAAAACAGATTCTTATCAATGTCACAAACTTCCGTTAAAATTAAACTACATAAACAATATTAGCAAATGTCGCGTGAATAAACTAAACCCTTTGATCTGATTAACATGAAACTACGTTAGTTAAAAGAAGGATATATAGCAGCTATTTCAGGAAATTAAAAAGTTGTTACATTGTATGTTTATTAAGAAAAACAACATAGAATATAGAAAGTACAGCAATCCTTTTTTTCAGTTGTAAAGTAAACAATTAATGTATTGGAAATCAGGAAATTTAATTGCGAAGTAAACGTCGTCGATGTCTGCAAAATAAATTATGTTTAAATCGAGTTTCAGGTGTTATAACCCTAACAAGAGGTGAAACTTCACGTGGAATTAATTTACACAATAGTTAAACTGAATCATCTGAACACATCCAGTAACATAAATGTCAGTATGTTTGTATGTTTATCAAGCACGATGAAGTTCGAAATAGGAAAAACCCAATCACGTAATGATCAGCAATGAATGATGCAGCTTTATTAAAATGCAGATATCATCATATCAGATAATTTGATGATATGACACGGTATAACTCAGTAACAAGTGGTGAATTGAATGATAAATTGGTTTTCTTATATATTTTTGGTATATTAAAGAACTTGTTTGCTGATTAATTTAGACGAACAAATTAGTAGCGTCAAAGCTACGTATTTAGAACTCCTATATAAATATAAGTTTACTGTGTTGAGTAAAAAGACAAGCAAAATTACTATATATATTATATATATCTCTGTAACGAATTTTTTATTATATATAAATTCATTTAATCATCAACGTTTGTTTAGATTAAATTTATATTTAGAAACATGCATAGCCTATACAGTTACATATGTATTGCGAAACACCCGTCTATTCTGCAAAGTTGTAGAAGATTCTCGAGAGTAAGAATCAACAATATATGTGTTTTCGTAAACACTTTAATTTGTATTGTTACGTAAAACTGAAATTTCTAGAACGCCTCCACACGGCTATAAATTTTACCACCGCGCCGAGCCAAAAGAGGGTATTTATTATTAATTCGCTATAGTCAGCGTGCTATAAACTTCGGAAACTATAACTGTGATTGTTATAACGCTTATCATTCGGAAAACTTCCGATATTTGACCAGGAATATTTATAAATTTCGAACATTACAAACCATTCATCTTCAGTGGATTCACATCGGACATTAATATTTTTTCGAAAACATTACCTAACGCTATCGGTGGAAACTCAATCTCTAAAGGCGTATGAACAGTGACGACTACATGGCTAGCTAGCTCTGTGTTAAGCGAAACGTAACTGCATAAACTCGTAATTAACTCGCACATCATGAACCCTCGATAAGATATCAAGGAAGTTCCAGACTAAAAAGAAGACTTTATATTGTTTGTAAGTTTGTGAAACTTTTGTGTATAAATCATTGTTTGATAAGTATTTGTAATAATTGTTATTGTAAATTGTACTGTTGTGTGTATATTAAAACGTATCTGTGTTAAAAAGGAAAACTGTGTATCAATCTTGTTGGCAAACATCGTAAACTGACTAAATACGGCTTTTACTTAACTGCTAAATCTAAAGTACGATTTAACTACTAAATTTAAATTTATCAGTTAACTGAATTTCAGACCATTTGAAATTATAATACGTAACAATCTCACTTTTATAAGATGCCTAGTTATGCTTTTTTTTTCGATTTGTCCTTATTGTTGAGGGTTACAACAAGCCGGTGGTGAGAGGGAGGGGGGGGAGTACGATCGAACTCATACTTATCAGACTAACTTTATAGAAATGTTTATTTGCAGTTATAATAAAGGAACAATTACATATTTCGGATTTTTTTCGTTCACATCAAACGAGTTCCATTTTGGACCGAAAAGACCCCCTCCCCATTTCCAGACCTGGCTACGCTTAGTTAGAGTCCACTAAAACTAGTATTATTCCAACAATACACACATGGAGTCAATATTTCTCTTTGTCAAAATTTAAAATAATATATATATATAACTTCCTTTTATACCAATTGTCAAATAGAAAGGCTTTTAGTTATAATTCTTAATTGTATAAATATACTACATTGTTGTTGGGCTTAGGATTATTCTACAGTAGATGTCTATGACTTGTTAGTGATAAATTCAACGATGAATAAACAGCACGCACTTCACTTGCTTTCAAAGTAATATATATATATATTCAGAACAAGTTAACGTATATACAATAAATTATTCAACACTATAGATATTACGGACATATCATAAATACTATATATGTAGTTCTCTCCTTTTTAACAAATATCCATTTAGGCCTATTCAATTACTTTAGAATTTCAGTTGACAAGCCGAACTATCTTCTCTATTTCTATCGTACTAATATTCTCTGTGATTCACTTACAATTGTGGCGCGAGTTACCGCAATCGTTTTGTCTTCTTTCTCTTGAAGACCCGCTGTTCCTTTTGTCAAAGTGCACTCAGGCTGGTTCAATTACTTTAGAACCACGCTTTGACGGAATAAAATTATTTTTCTTATCTTCTTTTCTACTGTTAGTTTCACTCTAACATATTGAACGTTAGGCCTATGTCAATCGTTAGGCCTATCACTTCTACAGTACTTAACTTCACACCAATTTAATTCTCTTTTGCTATTATCTGTCTGTCTGCTGCTTCTCGCTCGTCTCACGCTATTTATATCTTTATTTCTAATCGTCTGTCCGTCTTCTATATTCTCATCGTCAATATATTGCACATGACGTTCTTCTCAACATCACTGATTTCTTAACAAAACTTCCTATAATCATCTGCTTTTAACTCTTATTATAACAAAACTGAACAATAATAAAATATTCACTCACAAAAATAAATTAATCACTAATATCTAAACCAAACAGTCTTTTATATGATGACACTCTCCAAATTTCAGCACTATTACTAGTCAACCCTTCATCTCTATTTAACAAATGTTGTAAATTAAATAATCATTTGTGAAATAGAGATTAAGGGTTGGCTAGTGATAGTACTGAATTTTGGCGAGAAATATTGACTTCATGTGTGCAGTGTTCGTGTCACACTGGTGAATTATTGTGAGTCCGGCCATTCTTGTATAAAAACCCGCTGTTCACATAGATGTTTACTCCTGA